GGAAGCATCCGTATAGTCTGTATTTTTTATTTTTATTTATTTATTTTTTTTAAATATTTATGCATAGGTAAACATTTATATATAGTATATTCATAGTCAAAATCTGTCAGTAGGTTAGCTGTGTATAGGTACAGTGTTTATGTGAAGCATCCGTATAGTCTGTATTTTAATATATATTTTATTTATTTATTTATTTTTTAACTTATGTATAGGTAAACATTTATATATATATATATATATATTTATAATCAAAATCAGTCAGTAGGTTAGTTGTGTATAGGTTTTTACTGCTTTACTGTATAGGTTTTTACTGTTTTACTTCATTGTTGTATGCCTGTATTTATGTAACACCGTGGTCCTGTGAGGCACGACATTTCGTTCCACTGTATGTCCCCATATGCAGCAGAATGACAATAAAGCTCAACTTGAACTTGAACTTGAACTAACAACAAAATAATAAGTTCAGCCCTTCATTATGTGTTTTTGTTGATGTAGAATGATTTGCTGGATGTGGTGGCCAGTATCGAGTTGTCTAAAAAGACAGTGCAGAGAATCCGGATAAACTTTGTGTTTGCTCTCATTTACAACTTGCTTGGCATCCCTATTGCAGCAGGTAAACAGAACCAACCATAATTGTTACCAGTGTTTTCTGACATGAGCGAGTACTGTGTGCATTCTGTAATATATGGATGTGGTTTACTGGTTTGAGTCTGACTTTCAGGTGTGTTCATGCCGGTTGGGATTGTACTGCAGCCATGGATGGGCTCTGTTGCGATGGCAGCTTCGTCTGTCTCAGTTGTGCTCTCCTCTCTACTGCTGCGACTGTGAGTGCACATACACTACACTGTGATGAAGTCTTCACATTCTACCTGCACACATCACTGAACACTTTATAGCCCTGTTCCAAAGCCAAGAGTATTGCCCATTTAGGCATCATAGGAGTCCTGACACAATGGCTGTTTTAAACAGCAGGCAGGAAATGATACTGCCATAAGCTGCGCTGAATAATATGTTTTGTTAGGTAACCTAAAATGTGCGTAATGTGGTAACATCTGAATGTTTTTTTTAATTTAAAATTCTTTTTTAATATGACTTTAATATGATTTTTTTTTGCATCAGTTGTTAGCTTAACAGCATGCTTATTTTCCACCTTATTTTTAACACAAAAGTGAGCACAGATAATAATAAGTTTAATAAACTTATTAAAGACTTTTTCAACCTTGTCCATCTGCAGCACACAATACAGTGGCTAAATGTACATTAATGCAGCACACAAACACTCAAGATGGATTACATGAATTGTTAGCTTAGCAACATGCTAACACCAGACTTTTTTTCCACCTTATTTTAATGTAAAAGTGAGTGTGTGTCACGATCCGCTACTATGAGGAGCACGGAGCGAGGAACGAGGAGACGTGGAGTAGACATCTAACAAACAGACTTTAATAAACATCCAATGGAACCAGGAAAACACACGAGCGGGGAAAGACGACCATTCAATACCAGACAAAGAAACTTAAGGCACAGGGCTTAAGTAATGGGACTAATTACGGGAATAACGAGAAACACCTGGAACTAATGAGGGAACACCTAAAATCAAGGAACACAATGAGACATGGGAAAAACACACAGAATGAGTCCAGGGGTGTGACATATCGCCCCCCTCCCGGAAGGCGCATCCTCGCGCCGTAGAACAACAGAGGTGGGGCATGGGTGGGAACTTGGGAGGAGGACGGACACCCGGGAGGGGGTCGGCAGACAGAATCCAGGGAGGTGACGATGGAGGGAGGAGACAGGGAGAGCCACAGTTCCCGAGTCAGGCCCACGGCGGGCCTCAGGGGTCGATATTTTCCCCAAATATTTTTTAAATGTGGGGTAATGTCAGTCCTGTGTCTCGTGTTTTCCTCCCCCATGTGCTCCATGACCCAGTTTTCCCTCATGTTCAATTATGATAATTTGTTCCAGGTGTTTCCAGTTCATTTCCATGATTAGTCCCATTACTTTAGCCCTGTGTTTTCCCAAGTCTAGCGTCCGGTATTGTTCGTCTATCCCCTCTGCTACATGTGTTTTCCTTTGGTTTGGATTAATAATGACTGTTATTTGAATTCTCCTTCATCTCCTCGCTCCATCACAGTAGCAGCAGCAGCGTGACAGTGTGTCAGCCACTTAGTTGTTTTAGCTGTACAAGATCAGTCTGTTATGCTGGTTGATTTTGCAAACTGGTATTCATTATCATATTTTAATTTAGTATTGTAGTCATGAATGCACTGGGTTGTAGTGGAAACAGTTTTACCATTTACTTCACTTAATTCTTCTAAATTTAAGTAAAAGTGATTAATGAATCCGAAGTTTCGCACATTCACAAGAAATAGGTTACTTCTGCATTGAAAAAATAAGTGGACTGGAAACAACTGTGCACTTCACATGATGAACACTAATTCAAATACTGTAAATTATGACACAAGGATACTGTCTTGGAGGATAGTTGCCCATGTTCCACTCAGTGGGTTTTGAAAGACAGAGAGACACTCTGTAAATATCTTTCCATCTCTCTCTTAGCTACAAGAAGACGTCAGCAGAAGAGTACGAGTCCAGAGCTCAGAATCATAGGCTCAGTCTGAGTCCGTCTCAGGTCAGCACCCATGTAGGACTGGAAAACCGTCACTGTAGCCCTCTCTCATTCCGCCGGAGCTTGGACAGACACAGGCGGAGCCATTCAAGATCAGGCTCCTCCTCCTCCCTGAAATCAAACTCCTCCCACCCCTCCACAACACAACCATACAGCACCTCAGGGAGGAACATTGTGTAAGCAACTAGCCATGAGCAGTCTTGATGGCAGTTGACTGGAAATATTTTATCATGGAACGACGACTGGGGAATACAGTTTTATAAGTGTTCAGTTTTTATATAATTTTACAATGATAGATTTTATCAAGAATTTTGCATGATAGTGAAAGATTTCCTGATGCAGATTCAAGAAAGAGGTTCATGTTGATTTTTGCTAACACCAATTTTACCTTTTAAAAGTTGTCTGCTGCATTTTAATTAGTGTTTAGCAACATCAACATTCTTTGTTTATTGCATTGGAGGATGGCAATGTACATGATAATCATGCATGTAAAACCAGTTTAATTTGGTACTAAAAGTATCATGACAATGTACTAATTGCTTGTTTTCTTACCTTTAAAACCTTACCTTTTTTCTAATGGTAGAATCTAGAAGAATCAGTGTCCAATAATGAATGTAGTAAGCCCTTAATTATTGATAGATAATAGAATAGTATTACTGGATCAGGTTATTTGACATTGGTCTCTTGTGGTTTGGAGAATGAATGGATCTCTTTGTACAGTACAAGGTCGATTAGGCATTTCATGGCCAACAGGTGGCAGTAATGTTAAACAGTTTAGAGATGGAAAGGATATGGCTGGATTGTATGGAATGTCACTGGTTAAACAGTTTGATTAGTAGGGTTTGTAGAAAATAATTGATTTGACTTTGATCCGACAGTAGATTCATAATGGATTCATACAATTATCTGACAGTTTGCTTCCAGATTACGTTTAAGGATAAAAGACGTGTCAGAATAAATGTAGAGGCACCTTTACAGTGACACTTTTATTTTAGAAAAAGTGGATATGTTTATTAAATATACAGTTAGCGGTGTAAAACGAGCCTGTCCATGAGTTTTCAGATACAAAATAAAGTGCATGGTCCCAGCATGGCCTTGTCATGTGCTGTATGTAAGTTGTGTTACATCATTACAATATAGGACAGAAGTAATCCCATCCTGTTTCATTCATCCATCAGCAGTACATTCAAATGGCTAAATATACAGTAATGCAGCACACAATCACTCAAGATGGTCACCAAAAATACAAAGTACCTACTATTTGTAAAAGTGAAAAGTTAATATTTTTGTCGCAGTGGTATTATGGGGTTACAGTATGCTTGTGCGATTGGTTTAAGCATGTTTCTCAAATTTAGCCAGATCGCTTAGAGTATTTTGCATAGCTCCTTATGTTAAAGAGGTCATTGTGAGCAATTAAATATTCTTTTTTTTTTATATATATATATAATATGTTAATCCTACTATGAAAATGTACTGTAACTTTCAGAACTATTTAATTAATGATAAATGACAGATTGGAAAATAGTCACAAATCAAATTTTTGTGCAGAACCTGTATGGAAAAAAAGTAAATGAAGTAAATATTTACAGAATTAATTATATAAAAAAATAATATAAGAAAATATACAATTTAAATAACAATACAAAAAAAGATACAACCCCTTTACAAAAAAGTGAGCACTGCATGCAAAATTAAAGTGTGTATGCCATCTATTTTTGCATCCATTATTTAAATGTAACCTAAAAAAGCAAAATAAGTTCCCTACCCCCCAGTTATAAAACTGAGCTCTACTGCTTTGCAAAGGCTTGAACTACACATAAATATGCATTCTCATGGGTTATTCTAGTTATCATTCATTTTAAATGATATACAGAATAAATGTAGTTTATGGCAGCCATTTGGGATAGTAAATACTGCACCGCTACTTCTCACAATACTGGTATTATTAATATAAAGCATTTCACAGCGGCCTGGTACATCAATAATGTTTGTAAGTATGTAAAACACCAGTTTATAACCATTGCAAATACCTTGTGAATCCAGTTTGACCCTGCACATATTGCTCTACAGACTGACATCAGTTTCATTAATGTGGTCTGTGTTGCAAGTAACGGACTGTATTGCTGTAACAGACCAGGAGGGTCACAAACAGTCCTGTTAATACCAATACATAACCATATTTTCATTATCACATATCAGCAAAAACGCTAGCATTTGAGATGTTTCTTGTTGGACATATCGTTCCATATTCTCAGTATCTCCTCTGGTGAGATCTGATGTACAGTCAAGACTTTTCGGTAGCGGCAGAGACTGTAGGTCATTTTCCAGTGATTAAATCCACTGTTCTGGAAAGGCTGAATGCCTAGTTTCCGCAGGCACAGTCCCACATACACATCCTCCAGATGTAGGAGTCTTGTATGGAGGGAGGTCTTATAAACCAGCTCTGCAATGTCTCCAGAGAAGACGTATCCAGTGCCAGAACAAAAGGGTGGGTACCTGCTATCAGGGTAGACCTCTCTGGGCATGAACCACTTGCTGTGAACGTCACGTATGGGTCCTCCGTTTATCACATGACCTGTGAAAAAGCGTCGCCTTGGTTTGGAGTTGGGTCTCAGAAGGTTAAACACTAAATTGTCTATGTTGACAAATATATCACTGTCTGTTTTCATGACGTACTGCGCGTTGGGGCAGAACGAGGACACCCATCGCATACCCATGAGAGTCTTCAGGGTCAAATTGTGGTAGGAATCCACAAAGTCCTCGACTAGGATGTCATGGAAGATCTGGCTCTCTTGTTCCACCATCTGGTTGAGGACAGGTTCAGTGCTGAACCCAAGAAGGAACAGCGTCAAAATGCGAATGTCGCCGAACGTGTTTTCATCTCCCCATGTCTCCCGGATCGCCTGGCGGGTGTCAAACTCCTTGTGGTTGGTGCTTATGAGGAGAACAAGAAAGGGCGTTGTGCTTTCACATTTGTTGGGCTCGTTGATGAGGAACTTGAAATTGTGCGGGTTCAGAGCACGCGTTCGGATATTGCTGAGCGTGTCGTTCTTCGAGAGCCTCGGCAGCGGTTTGCGGGGGGTGAAGGTCATCGGACCCACGTAGGTGGTTGAGGGTCGAGAGCCACTGAGATACCACAGCGCACTGGCCCAGCAGACCACAGTCAGCAAATACAGGCATGACACCTTTGATGGCATCTCGTCAGTGGCTGGATCACCTGTCAATCACACGCGTTCAGCCCACGGGGCCAATCACGTGTAGTTATTTGGAAAGCATCGCTCAACTGAGCACAAACCATCCATCTTTTGATGTCAGTGCTGGTTTAGTTTTGTTCACAAGCATTCTTTCTAGAAACACAGACATACTTACTATTTTCCCTAAGGGCCAATTGCTACCAATCATCTCGTTTTTTAAAAGGATATCAATATTCTTTCATATGCAGTTATAGAAAAAGACTAAGGTGTTCTCTTTACTCATATTCACATTCTAGATCAATGGTTCTCAACCAGGGGCTGAGAGCCACAAGGGCCCTCAGAAAACTTCAAAGGGGGCCATATTATTTATTATTATTAATAAATTAAAACTTTAATAAAATGCTTAAAATACATAACATCAAGAAATCATATTTCTTCCCCCCCGTCATTTACTACTTCTGCTTGTTTACCAATTTATGTTTATCAAAAGATTGCAAACAAGCAATCTTTGTCATAATTACTGTATAGCAGAAATATCCTACCTTAGGCATTGAAAACTGTGTTGGACAATGAGAAGCTTTTGAATCAAAATAGTTGAGAACCACTGTTGTGTTTCTAGAAGGTTCTATACTCTTCCAATTGTGCTGAGATTTGCATCCACTTTCCAATGATTGACCTTCTATCGCTGTGGGTCATCACTGCATTGCGTCTGTTCTGACATCATTAATAAAGCATATAGGGTGGAGTGGACAGAGACGCTTCTCAGTTCAGGTGCTGCAGGATCTCTCTTTGTCTGTAGGTCACAGAAAGCCGAGATGTGCTCTTTGCATGAGGGTGTTTGTTTTCTTTCCAGATCCCACTTTTAGGCTTTACGCGAGTCTAAAATAGAAAAACAGAAAAATATAGATGTAAATGTATCTGAATGTTGTATGTATTGTAACACACACATATACTGTACTGATCACATGATCATCATTCTATATTTAGCCCTCACAGCATGTTGGGTTCTCCAGTTACCGAATTGCATCTGAATTATTAGACAGATAATATATACACAGTGGTGGCCAAAATTATTAGAACACTAGTATTTTCACCAGCTAAAATTGGTTTTAAATCAGTTATTTCTATCTTTTGCTTTAGTGTGTCAGTATATATCAGTTTACAATTCCAAACATTAATTTTGCCATTAATTGTAATAATCCAGTGAGATTTGTGTTTGCACAAGGAGTCTGACAACAGCCAGTGCTCCACACAGAGATCCGATCTCTTCATCATCCAGTCTGTCTGGAATGACATGAAGAAACAGAACAAACTGAGACAGACTAAATCCAGAAGAACTGTGGCAACGTCTCTCCAAGATGCTTCAAGAAACCTACCTGCAAAGCTAACTGAAAAACTATGTGCAAGTGCACCTAGGGAAAAGGCTGCTTTAAACGCACAGGATGGTCACACCAAATGTTTATTTAATTTAGTTAATAGAAGTTAATTAAAGGTAGGGTATGTCATTTTTCAAAAACGCTTTAGAAAACTGATTCGGGCCAAATAGCAAAACAAACTTGTAGCCAATCAGCAATAAGGGGCGTGTCTACTCGTGATGTGGAGGAGAGAGCTTTCAGTGCATGGGACGGACATTAGCTGAGCCGAGGGACAGAAAGATAGAGATGGCGGATAAAAAACAAAAGAGGAAAACGTCTGCGGAACGATAAGGCAAGAAGTAGGACCCGTGTAAATATCAGATCAGCTTTCCAGCGCTGGAGAGAACTCAAGGAGCGGAGGCCTGCGATCGGACGCCGAGGTTGCTTTGTTTCTTCTCAGTAGGTGAGTAACACCGTGTCTACAACAGCTAAAGTCTGCAGCAGTTTTCTGTCGGGGATTTGTTGCGCCGCGCCGCTCACGTCCGATGTAGACATGGTGTAACATTGGTTTTGCTTTGTTTCACAGAACTAATCGTTGCCTGGGTTGCGTACGTATATGTGGGGCCTGCCTTTAATAAAGAAAATCTATTTATGGCATTATTTTTGACAGCATCCTCAACTTTTAACAGTACTGTAGCGTTGCAGGTAGGTTTCTTGAAGCATCTTGGAGACGTTGTCATATATTATTATTATTTATTCATAAATTAAGAATTAAAAATTAAGAATACTATTATAGAATACCGAAATCCCCCACAAATTGAAAATACACATAAATAGAAGGTGGTAGTATTACGGGTGGGACTGTAAACTAAAGGCAGACCTGGTGAAAAAGATCTATCTGTCTCTATTAGAAAATAGCACTTCAGCAGAATTTTTGCACCTGAAGATGCAAAAGATGACAAACAAACAACATCAGCAGCAATTGTCTGGGAAGGATTCCAACAGCAGAGCCAGAGGCGATTTGTGGGCCCCTCAGCTCCCTCAGAACCTCACTTGGGAGAGAAAAGTGACTCATCCCTTTTTTTCTGGCCTGTTGGTATTGTTTCTATGAACCTCTATTAACCTTGATTAGATCCAAGAGTGACTGGGGCACTGCTGTGTTTTCTGTCTAAGTCAATATATAGCATCTTCAACACATAACAGACCAGGCATAATTTGCCACACCACTGTTATCTTCATATAATTTTTATACGATTATATATTTTTTATATTTTCATATTTAATATTTTAATTTTAGTTAAAACTTCAGCCATTTAAAACATGTCTATATAGTTTTTGTTAAGCTTTAGTTATTTTAGTACTTCATTGTAAACTAAACAAAACGAGAAATGCTACTGTACCTTGGCAACTAGCTGAAATAAGTATGAATTTATTTATTAAAATGTGTACACACACACACAATGATGTACCCCTGTTGAAACAGCAAGGTTTTTGTTTTGTAATAAATTAAAATTAAATCATATCATATCAGACCCTTTCCACCTTTAATGTGAAAATGACTTCCTAAGCAATGCCACAGTATATTAAGATACATATAAAATAGAAAATTTTCAAAAAAATTACTGTTTTACTATATTTTTGTTCAAATACATGCAGCCTTGGTGAAGAGACTTCTTGTACTGTTTATATACAGCATTTATTCAAAACAGAAATCTTTTGTCACAACATAAGTCTTCACTATCACTTTTTTTTTATTATATCAATTTAACATATCCTTGCTGAATAAAAGTACTAACGTTTTTAAAGGAAAAAGAAAAAATCATACTGACCCCAAGCTTTAGAACAGTATTGTATATTGTTACAAAAGATTTGTACTTTTTAAT